AGTGATGCCCAGCACCCACCCACCCCACAGCAATCTGCTGCCGGTGCCGTTAGCATAGGTGCACGAAGAAGTAGCAAATGCCACCAGAATTTGAAAGAAAGAGGTCATCTTGCTGCTGTGTGGCTCTAGTTACCCAAATACTTGGTTGAGATTGAATAGAAACATTAAATGTCACCTGATGAAGTAAAAACCTCTCTAATTAGGCTTTAAAATACATTGCATTATAGTTTATTTTCCATAAAAATATGTAAATAATTAGTGCTTCTAAATGAGATTTAGTAAGTCATGGTACGTTTATATTTGAAAGCCTTCATGCCAACTATACTTTGACTTTTCAATGTCTTTCTGGAGCCTTACAAAGTAGAAAGTTGTGCTTTTCCTTCTTTCATGTCATATTTATGCTCGTGAGCCCTTTTCTGAGCTGTCATGTTTACATTTTCTTTCCCATCTCTCTGTGGCCACCCAGAGCTCCCTAGTGGGGTCAGAGAAAGCAGAGGATTTTTTTTTTATTTTTTTTCTCAGTGTAGTTGTATTTAGTTCATATGATGCAATGCTGTCCTCAGGATGTAACGGTCAGTTTGACCTCCTTGCAAACACAGAGCAAATATGTGAGAAAACATTTTACAAGCCACGAGAGGATTCTTGGGGGCTCTCAGCAGAGCAGAATAATTTTCCTTGGCTGGCGACAGTGAAGACTAGACTGTGCCGCTGACCATAGCAGTGTATGAAGAACAGCCTTATAAACAGCAAAAGTCACCACAGACTGGGCTCACTCACTGGTTTTTTCCACATCGTTTTATCTTATTTCATTTTATGGAAACTTGAAAGATATTTATTTAGGTCACTACTTCCTCTGTAGCCTTCATGACACCCTTCAACTTCACATCTGCAACCTTCAGACTTAAGGAGGGAGCATGCACCATGGCTGGGCTGTAAGCAGGGTCTCCTGATTTCGCAGAAGTTGCAGTATCCCACAAGGGCAGGGCATGGAAAGACAACATGTTGTATTTTTCATATCGATTGTGAGAGAAAGGCCATTTTTATGGCTTCCCATAGATTAATGGATGATTAATGGAAAAATATTTGCAAGGCATGTATGTGTTTGAGTTATGATTCCTCATTTTAAATTGTTAGGGATACTAAGAATTGCCGTACAACCGTGGCAGAATCTGGTGTTTCTGTTTAGGATTAAGAAAAAGGGAATGCTTTGAAGCCCAAGAGTTATCTCTTCTTTTAAAAAACTTAGGTGTTCCTTCTACTGGACAAAAAAAGTTATTAATTCCCCCAGTACTCTTGAGATTTTGTATTAGGAGGGGGAAAAAAAATCAAGCTCTCAAATCTAAGGTCACATCTTTTTGTATATGGTACAGTATTTGCCATGAGTTAAAGACATTAACTTAAGTAAATTGTTTATTCTTCTACAAAAAATACTTTAAAGTTCACTCTTTTTGTGGTAGCATTAAAATTCCCAAAGGAATTTCATATCCATGAATTTTTTTTAATCAAGTGCCAACTGCCTCTTATGATATGTATGAGCTCACTATGGCAAGTGAAACAGTTTGTTATTAACTTTAAAAAAATATATTCATAACACACCTTTGATATATTTCTGATACATCAGTAGTCTGGCTCGTTGACAGATTAATAGATTAGGGCACATTGTGATTTTTATGTGAAAGACAATTTTACACAAGAAGATAGTAGACATTACCAATTTACCATTTCAGCCAAAATTGTTAACAGCAACAGAAAAATATAGTACTATTAAAAAGAAAGATGGTTTCTGTTGTTACTTGCAGCCCCAGGGCCGGTTCCCAGGTGTCCCTCTGCCCTGCTGGAGACAGAAGCCCAGCGGGACGTGAGCAGTGTGGATCATAGCCAGCAGCTGAGGAATAACATAAAATTCCTCTTTCTTTATTGTGGAGGGGTATGATCAAAGTAGCTGTGTGTGTTTCTTTCAGTGTCTTTCCTGGCTGTGTTAGAATATAATTTTTTTTACACTCCAGCGTAAATCACTCCAGTGATTTAAATAAGCAAGGCTGTCATCTGTCACCTTGCAATTTTTTGTCTCATGTAAAAACCTTTCTGCCCTGAAAGATCTGTGTCCTGCTGGGAAAACATGCTCTTACTGGGAAATGTGGCATTAATGTTGCTTAGGATAACAGAATAACGCCGCCTAGAATAATGTCATTTCACCTTAGCTTTCCGTGCTCAGAAAAAAACCAGAAATTCCTGTAAGTCCTGCTAGCAACCAGAGAGCGGCTTCCTGTAGGTGTGTTTAAGTTTTGTAATGACTAGCGCACCTCAGGCCAACCTTTCTTTCGCCCCACTTCTTGGTTAAAAACTGATTTCACATCTCATGGAGCTGCATAATTATCATCAAGTAAAATCTTCTCTGAGGGGATGGATGGTGGCTGGTGATTTATTTCACAGGATTATGAATATGGTAAAATAAGAAAGGCAAGCAGGTGCTGCAAATGCATCAGGACCCTCCAGCAGCTGTAATACAAATCACAGCGGTGGTGGTAAACGGAGACTGGAAAGGGGCAGTACTTCTACAGTGGAGAAAACCTGGTGCTTCTGTTGTCAGGAACGTGAAATGTGTGCCCTTGTGTGGTGAAAAATTGTAGGTTTGTATGAAAGCATACCTGGCTTTTATCTTAAACCTTGAGTGCATCAGCAAGGAGGGGGAAGATTTTTCCCTCTCACCCTTTGGCATTCCTTCCATAAATCAAATTCGAACGGAATTGCCACTCGATAGTTTAGACTAGTGCTGCCGCAGTTGTTTCAGTGATCCTACAACAGTCTACCCTAAAAAGGAATACTAAAAATCTCTTTTTGACTAAATATAAGCTGATCGCTTGTTAAAGCTGCAGGATTTTCCACGTGAATTTACATTGCTTTTATTGTATGGATGTTTCTCAGACCGTATTAATCAAATATTGTTTTCAGAATGACAAGAAGGTCCCTGTTACACTTCTGTGTTGGGTATTGATACTTACTTATCTCAGGGAATATTTTCTGACTCACTGTATTCATTATTCTTGCAAAGAAACTGTAAGTTTCTTTGTTGTGAGGTAATGTCTGTTCATCTTTGTATGGGAGTAAGAAAAGAGGAATGGTTCTTGGTTGGGTGTTACTAATTGTTTTTAAATCTTACGTAGGTGTTTCTGCCTTTCAATTAGTCCATCAATCAAGTGCAAGCTGGCTTAGACGTACTTTAAAGTATTGCCAGGACAATATTTCAGATTTTTTAAAATCCAAGCAATTTATGAATTCATTGCAGGTCTCTGCAGGTTCTTACAGAAACCAAAAATACGTATCCCTGAAAACATCTCCGGTGGTGTCTATAGTAAAAGTACAATAAACCTTTAAAGAAGTGCAATTTTTAATTCATGTTAAAAAAACCCTATTGGGGTGATAGGAGGGACACATTGCCTGTGCCACCTTGCTGTCCCACCAGTAGATTTCTTAGTAATATTCATACCATTGAGAATGGGGGGCTGGTTAGCTTCAGCTCAGAAGCTTGAATGTCAAAATTCAGGTCTTGACCATAAATCTTCTGGAATGTATTTAAGGCAAGCCCTTCTCAGTATGCTTGAATACATGGGGGAGCAGGGGAGATGGGTTCTTTGTATCCCAATTGGCAATTTTTATGTTGCTTTCTTTGATGGTTCCTCACCATGTGATTTACTTCCCAGCCCAGGATCTTCTGATGTGCTTATAAAATCTGAATCACATGAGTGTAAGACAGACGAGGAAACAGGAATGTACTTGAAAAGGCTTATGGACCCAAATGTGACACTTGTGGGAAGAGCTTTTCTGCACTGAGGTCTCAGAAGCGGATGCTGCGGCTGGAGGCCGGTACCCCACGCGGCCCCAGGAGAGCAGGGGACGCTCTCCATGTCTCCCCCGCTGCTGAGCACTTCTGTCTTGCCAGGGGCACGTTGCCCACTGAAGTGTTCTCCATTGCATTTTATTTACTTCATGAAGTATGGATTTGATTAGTCATTGATTTGATATTGGTGTGCATCAAGCCTATTGCATTATAAAAGCACGCGTCTTTAAGTAAGAATGAAGGTTGCTTTGCAAAGATGAGATCCTTTTATCTTTGCTTATGTTGTCTTGTGCTGGGGGTTTTTTTTGCCCCGTACGTCTCTTCGGAGTCAGTGGGTCTGCTTGCAGAGTAAGGGTCTGTTAGACTAGATAAGGATAGTGGAATTCAATCCCACTTGCAGGTACATTTATTATTGTGCTAGAGTAAAGCTAGAAATGGAATATAGTTCCTCAGGGTTCAGTAGCTATGCCTAGTCTTTGAAAAATGATAAATAGCTCCTAATTAGATGAATGACAAATCAGGAAAATGATAAATACTTTCTAATAAGCCCTTTTCTCAGTGGGAGTTTACACAACAGGCTCAATTCTGAACATCTGAGGAATGTACAGAATTGTAATCAAAAGTGATGTATGTTTTTATATCAAGAGTAAGCTGTGCGAGTTACAGCTTATGTTTGTTCATTCCAGTCATTGAATGAAGCAGAATAAAAAAAAAAAGAAAATAATTGTTGTCTCAATTTGATTTATTCTGGCTACTTCAGGTTTCCCCCAGGGTGTATTTAGAAGAAAGAAGAGTCTGAAAATAATCTCCTGAATATTTTAAATGTAACTCAGTATGCAAGTTGATCCACGTGTCCCGCTTTGAATCATGCAGTAATCTCAATATAACAATTGTGTTATTTGCAGCAAGGAAAAAAAAAAATATGTTTTTTGCATGCTAGGACAAAATGGCTTCCCCCAAAAAAACTTTTTAATGATATTTAGAAGTGCATAGATGAACCTGTAGATGACTTTTAAAGTATTTGTTATAGCCTCAGCACAATTCTTTGTCTCTGAGATGACTGTATAAAGTATGAGATAAAGAAAAAACTTCTTAATAGAGAAAGGAAAATGCATTATTAAACCTCTTTTTTTTTTTTTTTTCTTTCCTCCCTCCCCCACAGGACATTAATGTATGTATCCTTGAAAACTACCCTGAATGTTCCAATCCCAGGTTATTTTACATCATACCATATTTCTGTGGACAGCATCCAAGATGCAGGTAAATATATACAAGGTATCCCAATTTGTTCAGCAATAGCTATTGCCAACAATTTGTCAGAAACTGGTAATAAAGAGGCAGCAGTTGTTTGAAGTACAAGAGAAAAGTATAAGTACAAGTGTAGCACTGTATGTGGTAACTGCCTGCATATAGTTTGGAATAAGGAGGGTAAGGCAAATGTAGTACTATTCTTTTTTCTTGATTTAATATGTGAATAATTCCTCAAATCTGGATGTGTTTACATGGATTGTTTTGGGGGGGTTGGCAAGGTGAGAATTGCAGTGACCATATGTGCTTGTTACTCATTTTACCTCACTGTAATTTTGTAATATGTGTTTTAGCTCTGCTCAGATGCTCATATCAGGTCTATACATGAGGAATTCCAGGTTTCTATGTCCATGTAAGAAATAGTAATCATGCTTAGAACTATGTAAAGTGCAGCCTCCTACTCTGTAATTGAGCTAGCTCATTTTAAATGTGTCTGCACCATTCTCGTACATATGTGAATAATTTTAAATACCTTCTTGTTTTCAAATACTTTTGTATTGTCGGTCACAGCATGTTCTTTATTAGGTTTGTTCAACTTCAAGGTATTCTATTTATTTATTGTTACTGCTTCTCCATAGTGGAACAACTGCACATGTTTTCAAAAATTTCTTTCTACAGCCATACTTTTTTGTAGCAGTAATAACAAGTGAAAGTGTCTTCCTTCTTGCATCTCTAAGTATCTTTGCTGTAAAATCCTGCTTTAGTTTTTTGACATAAGTGAAGTTATGATTAAGAAGCAAAACAGATTCATGACTTCATTTTCATTACACATTTTTTTCTTAATGTATTTTGGCCTCATTTGCAAATGCTTATGGTTGCACCTTGAACTTGTGTGCATGAGTAATCCCATTAACAACACTCACATACCTGAATACTTCCACAACATACCTCTGTGAGGTTCCCAAGCAGTATATTGAAGTAGTGTTTTGTAGCTTGTTATAGATCTGTCTCCTGTCATGCCCTTGCACTTCCTTCAGCTAATTGCAAGTCACACAAGGAGCTGCAAGGAGGTTCGTAGTATTTGTTAGGACACTTTGCTCTTCCAGAAAATGGATCACTGCACAGAAAGTGGAAGAGAATGAAAAACCTGCTCCAAGTCTGCTTTAGTAGGTGTGTAAAGCAGTAAGTTTTTCCACATCACCAAAAGAGCTTCTGACAAATGTTGTTGAATTCCCTGTTGCATAGAGTTTGCAATAGCCTAATGGAGTTAGGGAAGAGGTGTGATCTCCAGCCACTCTCAGGTAGCATGTGTGACTCGGATGTTCATCATACCAGCTGGAGCCTGTGAAAAAGCTGATTTCCTTTAGTTTGGGGCACTGGCATTATATCCCCTATCAATACGAATGCTGACTGCTGCTCCCAGGACATAATTAACATGAGTTAGTCTAAGGGATTTAGGATTCATATGCTTGTCTAACTAAATTGTGCTTCTAAGAAACTATGAGAGAAGCATAAAGATGCACTCGTGTCCTGCCAGCTTCTCCTACTGGGGGAAAAGATAGAGTAACCCTAAACTGATCTTCAAAACCAGTGTCAGTCAGAACAAACAAATGCAAGTCCTGTAGCAGAGCCGCAGGGCAGTCGGGGGTGGTAGCAGGGAAGGGGAAGCTCATGGAGACTTTGGCAAAAGTTAAAAGGAAGGACAAGGTGGGAAACAGCCTGGTAGCCTCCTGTGTGGTATTCGCTGGGTAACAGCAGGCAATGATTGCTCGCAGCAGTTCTCCTGAGGTGGTTCAAGGACACCGCCACCCCTTAGCACCCTTCATCACCCAAGGAAGTCGTTCCTCCCGTGAGACAGGTCATGGCTTCCAAGTTGAAATACAGACGTTCACGAGTTTGAGCTTATAAATAACTTGATGAAAGACATCTTCAGAATGGAGTACTTCCACGCAGTGATTCACTTCCTTTTAATGTGATCTTGTTTTTACATGCCAAACCAATTCTAGATGTTGTGCGGAAAAGCTCAGTAAGCCACTTGGGTTTGGGGGGGCGGGGGTATATTCTGTTAGAAGTACAGCACTGAATATTGTTTGATTCAGTTGTGTTCTTGGCTTGAATTTCTGAAGTAAATGCATCTTTAAACTTTTTTTTTCTCTCCTCCCTCTCTCTCTCCATTAATGTCATACAGGGAGCCTGGTGAATGGGCCCTTGAAAGAGCAAAGCTGAACGTTAATGAAAATTTTCTGCTTGTGGGCATTCTGGAGGAGTTGGAGGATGTGCTGCTTTTATTAGAAAGATTCTTACCTCATTATTTCAAGGATGTGCTTAGCATCTACAAAAACCCAGGTAACTTTTTCCATTAAAAAGCTATTCTTACAGGAACTTTGGCAAAATCTGCATGGCTGCTGAAAGGTATGTGTTGTCTTGCTTATTCAGTGAAGAGATTTATCTCCCTTTTGGGGAGCAGATGTGATTGATGGGGAAGGCTACTTATTCTGCTTTTATTCTTAATGTTACTGTGTGGTTTTCATTCCTGGGCAAGCACTTGGTGCTCCAGTGGTCTTGCCACATGCCAGAAGGCTTCCCTTTTACCACTGGAGTGGCCTTTTCTTCTTTTAATTCTGTCATACTCAGCTCTCAAATAATACTGTCAAAATATTCTCAAAATGGTGTCATCAATATCTGCCTAAGTAAACCTTCAAGAAATGGTTTGGGGAGCTGAATGCTTTGGAGATTCTCCAGTACCAGGATATTTATTTTCCCTCAGCCTTGACTAAGAGTTGAAGTGACATCAACATTCAGTTAAACTGAGTTTAGGTAAAGTACAAATAAGAACATGTATTTACAGCACTTTAAGTACAAAGCATGCTGAGGAAAAAAGCTTGGGAGACGGGTTTCTGTCAGTAGCCAGGAATTATGCATGACTGTCCACCAATCCCTGCTTGCAGGATGCATCTTTGAAAATTTTGTATTTAGCGATGATACAGATATTATAGGGAAAGTGTGGCATTCCTCCTCTGAACATCATTTCAGTAGGTCATTACCTGCTTGCAGTAAGGCAGTTAAGGCAGCTCTTTCGAAGGTATGAGTGTTAATTTGTTGTGGTACTATATCCAGCCATAGAGCTAATTTGCTCAATAACAGACATAAGGAGAGCGTGGTATGGTATTGACATGAGAGCAGGGCCCAATTTTGGATCAGTTATTTCTCTTTGTAAATTAAAAAATAAAAAGACATATGTTTGTAGTATGTGGAGGTCTTCCTAAATGTTTGCACAATTCAGTCTCCAGGGTTTTCCCATGGGGATGTTAGACAAGAGGGAGGCTGGGGATCAGTAGAAGGATGCTCTCTTTGCAATGAGCAGACTTTTCTTTGGGAATCAGTAGCACTTCCTCAGCTGTTCTGTGCACCATAGATTTTTCACTTCTCTTACAATGGGGGAAGCTAACAAACAGCACAGAGGGTCTCAATTTTCATTGGGGTGCCCTAGAATTAGTCAGGTGTGAAATAAGCAATCTCCCAGAACTGTTAAGTGCTGGATAATCTTTCTCTTCTCTGTGTATATTCCAGTATCTGGGGGAGATTTGATCCCCTATTTCAGGACAGTGATTTCCTCTAGGATTTCATGTGTAAGACTGGTCTTGTGTCATGTCTGAAGATTCACCTCTTTCCTTCAGTATTCCCTGTGAGGATTAAACTTTTGTTTCATTTTTCCAATTCACTTATTGACAAGGAAGAATAGAAAGGAAACAGTTTCCTTGTGTTAACTCTCTCCTCCTCCTTTCAAGCATGCATATGTTTGGGGTTTTTTTCCAATCATAATTTTTTCAGCTTATTTCTGAGTTGGTGCTAATGCTTACAAAATAATAAACAGACTCAGCCAGAAAGGAAAAAAAAAAAAGAAAATTCAAGTGCTGTGTAAGAAATCCTACATCGTTCTCCTCAGGGTACCTTAGACCTGATCTGCAACACCCTCTGCTGTTGCATCATGAAATGCTGGGAAGAAGAGATGTTACTCTGCCCAGCTGTGTGGTGATCCCACAAAGCAGCAGATGCTTTGGGCCAAAACTGAACTTTTGTTGCAACTAACACTTGCAGATTAAATCTGTACACTTTACAGTTTTGTCTGCTGACCTGCTGCTCCACCTGCGATACTCTTATCGCAGTCTTTCCTCTTTTTGTATAAAGAAAGTAAAGCTTTTCCAGAACTTATCTTTTATCAGTTGAATATATTGAAATGAGAAAAACACAGTGAAGGACTGTGTACAGAAAGTTGATTCACTTCCACGTCAGTGAATCTCTGCACCAAGAGTCCACTGCAGTAAGCAGTTCTGGATTAGACACAATTCAAAAACTGGATTTGTAGAGCTGCTTTGAAGCAGAAAGTAACTGAAGGCAGGCAATTTCCATCCAGTGTTGCTTTAGTGGATTACATAGATTAGAAAGCAGAGTAGGAAGCTGGTGATTGCTGTCCCACTAACATCATAATCTAAACCAAATTAAAAGCACCTACCTCTTGCTGTAGGAAGCAAACTGCTGGATGTTATTAAACCAAAAAAATCACATGTGCATTTAAGATACGTCTGTGGGAATTCTGGGTTAAACCACTTCTTCCCAAAGTTGGGATGCTTCTCCCTCATTAGAGGTGCTTTGGGTGGGCACCAGATCACTACAGCTCCCATCCAAGCACACTTCTTATTTTCAGGAGCCTTCAGTATAGCTTGATGCTAATAGAAATCAGGAAATCTGGAAACTTTGTCTGATATCTGTTTCTTTTAACCATGCAAGTTGTATTCAAGCTTCTTTGTTTCTTCTGTGTCTGTAGTAAAATTTCTCATCTGAGACAGCATACAACAACATTTTTTGAGGAACTCTTGCTCAGTGTCCTCCTCCTAGCTAGAATACAAAGCCTGTAGCCTTTTTACCTTCAAAAATACTTTGCTGCTATTGTTCTGAAGCAGAAGATCAGTAAAACTGTGGCTTTGTTGATCAGGTAGATAGTGGAAGGTTTACATCAGAGAGGACAGAAATGTGAGTGCGGGTGTCTGTATATGTAATGACACAGATAACTGCTTAATGCAGTATGACTTGAGTGCTTTTGTCAGTGATGCTAATGATTTGTTTTACATAAGCTGGCAGAAGGAAACTGTGAAGAAAGGTAAAGTATAAAAAAAAAGAGCAAAATGCAGTTGACTTGTTCAGACACTATCACTAACAGTTGGTTATTGAGGTTTTTAATATATTTTGCTTGCCAGCTGCTGTGTATTTGTTCCGTGCTGGCTTTTTTTTTTTTTCTTTTAGACAGTGTCACATTTTGAAATGCACTCCAATTTTTCTCAAATTTTGTGAGTTTAAAACAGTTGGCAATTCTGGATGACAGGAAATTTTAGGGTCAGAGGACACTAGGAGGATAATTCTCTTCATTGCATTAATAAAAATGTTGCCTTCAGCTAATCCATATGCCAAATATTTTGACTTGCGTGTTTTATAACAATGTGCAACAAAATGCAAAAGCTCTTTGTGGTGCTAAACTTTTCATTGGAACCAATCTGGTTTTATCTTGTAGAATACTTTAGAGCTACAGGTTTCCTGTTTTTCTCCTTTTCCACTCTCTCCTTGAAAAAAAAGTATTTTCTTAACATTGATACCAAGTCAAGGAATTGCGAAAGGATTCTCTTTTTTGATGCCTGTCTTGTCCAAAGTGACAAACTCTTCCTGCCTTGACAGCCAGGACTGCCTTTGACAAGAGATCAAAAGGGAAGGGCAGGGGCAGGTGGCAGCAGCGAACGGATTGTGGAATAGATAGACAGGTCAATAGATGGGTAGGATAAATAAAAAAATTACCGTGTTTACTAAATTTCTTTGCTAACACAGTAAAATTTGCTAAAAATTTTGTCCTTTTTTCCCCCCGTATTGGAGCAGATAGGGTCCAACTGCAGAGCCTTGGATTGTATTTATTTCAAAATTTGGAAGTATTTCTTAACTCTTTGAAAGGCCTGAAATACCTATAGCATAACTTTACATGTAAAATTTCTCCTCGCTCTCAGGAGCATAACTGAAGGAAAAATAATTGGTCAGTCCTGTTCATTTTTGCTGGTTATAGCTCACTTCCATAGCCTGGCAGAGAATACTTACAGAGTTTCTTTTGAAATGGGCATGTGTGGGTTTCGTTTCTTTGGTGTTTTTAGGAGGCAGAAAATACACACTATATACAGCAAAACATAGAATTTTCTTCTGCCTTGTCAACTTCTGTATCATGGGGTAAAAGTTAACAGCATCTAATGTAAAAGAATAGGTAATAAAATGTTTTTAGCACCTCAGAAATAAGCCATATCCTCTCACCTTTCTGCAGGAGTTCATAAATTTTCTTTGGCACCAGAAGCCCTGTAAAAACACTTCTTCCCAATATCGGGGCGGGGGGGGGCGGGGAATCTTTGTTTCCTGAAGTTACATTTTGCGTGGAGAATGTGTAGATCTTGCTCTAAAGCAAGAGGACTGACTTAAGCTTTTCAAACAGTGAATTTTATTGAGTGCAATGAAATTACTCATGCTGTCAGCTGGAAGAAAATAGATTGTTCAGTTAAACTGTAAAATGTGCTTTTTTTGAAAATGCAACGAAAATGTGATTCTCCTTAAGAATCACATTTACAGGGAATATTTTAAACTGTAGTTAGTAGTATTATCCCAGGTAATATAAACCTCCTGATTTTTTAAATCCATTCTGTTCATGAATGCTAGTGACCCGGTCTTGACGTTTTCAATTTATAAGCTTCCCCTTCTCTTTAAACCCAGTAAGGAGGGAGATGCTGCCATTTATCTTGATTGCAAGGCCGAGGTCCCATGAGGCAGATGATGAAGCCTTTTTTGATGGAGTTAGGAGAAATGTGGGATCAACCCTGGAAGTCTTTGCACCATGCTGAAGACTGCTTCTATGCCAGGGCAGCCCTGAAGGTGGGGCATGCCTTCAGATGGTTCCTGCACTGGAAGTGGAAAAGACCATTTTCCCCACTCCTTGTCAAAATAAAACTCTTCGCAAGTGGAGAAGGCCAAGAGAGGCTTTTCTTTCTTTCCTTATCCCACCTTTCAGGCCATCAGTTTGTTAGCAGTACTCCCCATAGTCTGACTGCTACTTTAGTACTAAATTCTTGTGGCAGCCTTTATCCCACCCTGTTCTTAGGCTGCTCTGGCAAGATGTGGATGCTATGCATTTGGAAATGTTCAGGAGCTGAGGGTCATTGCTGGGAAAGTTGCTGTGATATGAAGAAAGCAAAGGGAGGGTGGGAAGATCCCACTGTTCTTTTTTACCTCTGAGAAACTGGAATGGATGTCTGCAGGCACAACCTCCA